TGAAGTCCAATGTCGAGTCTGGATCCACATGTCACCAAAGCTCTCTCTCTCTCTCTCTCTCTCTCTCTCTCTCATAGTCTGCTGATGCAATGAAGTCAGATAGCGAGAGGGTGAGAAGGAGATGGTGGATTGAGAAGAGGAAGAAGAAGAACTCTCTCTCTCATGTGCCAGGTACTAACCTGTGAAGATGGCGATGTGCTGCAGGTACCTCGAAGACGAAGCTGGAGCAATGGCGCTGCAGGTAAGTCCCTCTGGTGTTACATTCTGCGACTTCACACGGGCCTCCACAGGCCCAACACACCGGTTTAGGGGTACCCAGGCCGGCCTCGCCAAAGGCCAGGCCTTTTTCTCCCGGTAGGCCTTATTAGGCCACCGGTTGGACCCCAGCGCCAGCAGACCCAGGTCCGCCCAAACGACATGACCGTTTCGGCCTGGCGACGCTCTTGAGGCTGCCACCCGTCGGTCTGGGCTGAACAGACATTTTGACGGTTCAGCCCACGGCGCAGGAGGCCAGCATCGAGGTCGATCGGCCGCCGGACGGTACTTAGGCCGGTCCAGCAGCCATTCTCCCAGGTTAAAACGAGGACCAGCCAGAGGAGCGCTGCGCTATTTTCAGGAGGCAAAACGTTAGGAACTGCAGCGCTAGTTTAGTGCACTGCAATCCAGGAGGAGCAAGGAGTGAAGGGACTTACCTGCGACCGTGGAGCGCCATAGCTCCCACGACCTGCAGCAGATCTCCCTCCACTGCCAAGGCGCCAACTTGTTACCTGCAGGTTAGGCCTGAGGCCCTCCCAGCTTCCCATCTCTTCCTCTCCTCTCCTCTCCATCTTCATCTTCATCTTCGTCTTCTACTATTCCTCTTCTTCTTCTTCAGACTTCCTCTTCTTCCTCTTCAGACTTCCTCTTCCTCTTCTTATTCAGATTGGAGACTTTGCTACAAGTTGGACAAAGATCAGTGTTCGGACTTCGGTGGCAAGAGGTTGTGATACTTACCGGATTCGAGACTTGGAGATAGTTGGGATTGATACTCGGCGGCATCACAGATTGCACACCGGTTACGTTAGAACTCGGCGGCATCACAGATTGCACACCAGTTTACATTAGGACTCTGTACCTCTGACATTGGTGACTTATTGTTCACGACATTTTGATCTTGTTCGATGACATTTTGGACTACCATATCGGTGACCTACGGGATTCTTTCTCGGTAACATCTGGCGCTGCCTACACCTCCCACCTCCATCGTCTCTCCTCCCACCTTTCATCTGTGTATGGTTGTACGGGGCCTGAGCATCGTCTATGGTTGGCTCAGACCCCACCATCTCACGATTGTTTGTGTGTTGAGTGATATCTGTATGAGTTTAGTCTATGTGAGTCAGTCCATTTCTCAGACTTTTGCTGCATACATGCTCATCCTATATTGGTTGATCTTTGGTTCTGCTCATACGTGTTGAAGTATTCACTAGTATGCAACAGTTTTGGTATCGGAGCAGACCAACTAATGGATTTGCTCACAAGGTAATTCTGATTAGGGAATAAATTGCTCAATTAGCATTATTCGATTTTCCAAATCAGTTCTGCGTTACTATCGAGATTCAAAGTTGCAAATTTTTTTTTATTCGACATTCTGTTTTAATTCGGTATTCTGATTTCAATTCGGTATGTTGTTTTTAATTCAGGATTCTGTTTTAATTCGATATTTTGTTTAATTTGATATTCTGTTTTAATTAAATTTTATTGATTATTAATTCGTTATTATTTCTTATTTCGAATTTTAAGTTGTTTTGGGGGAAAAGTTCATCTTTTTCTTTTGATTAGGTGTCTAGTCCACATTGGGACAGGGGACTGTATGTTGCTTGAGTGATATATCCTACCCCTGTTCCCACACTCCCTACCCTCCCCGTACCTGTGACCACCGGGACTTCTCAAGTACCACATGAGCTCGTGCTGATGTCGATGGAACAGGACACCGGGGCACTGCCTCGACGCGGTGCCAGGATCGCAGTTCGTAGCCACTCTGTGTTACCTCCACGAACTAAGTATCAGCAACAGCGACTCAACATGCGAACGACTCCAGCGGCATTGAGTACAACAATTGCAGTTACCACCGGGGCTATTCCCGCATGTCTGGTCCAAGGGGACCACAAGACGTCAGATTACCTTCAGCGGGTAAAGGCATTTACAAATGTCGTCGCTAAGGCCGTGCAGGAGGCAGTAGAGGCAGAACGACAACGGCTTGCCAATGAGGCGGCAGCCCAAGATCGGCGAATTGTTGAGGCTGACGTGACGGTTCGAGACAAGTGGAACGCCATCAGCATGGAGTCCTTGACTCAGAATGAGAGTCGCTGGACAACACTACTCCAATGCATGTTTTTTGAGCCTTCGGACGAGCAGGCGGATCCGACACCAGCGGAGGCAGAAAGGAGTAACCTGGCTAACCTGATGCTGGCCATGATGAGGGCGGTGATGTGGAACAATACGATGTTGACAATGTAGGGCAGACAACTGAGACAGACTCAACAGAAAGACGTTGCAGCCTTAACAGCCGTTGTTCGCGTTGCCGCCACACATCAGCAACAACAGCAACAATTGTTGAACACCAGCACCACACGCGTCAACAGCATCGAGGCTAAGGCCTCAGCAGCGCCAGGCTGCATGACAGACATGGCGAAGCAGCTCGGGGAGTGCATCGACCATGTCGTCAATCTGATCGGCGAACTAGGTGACGTCACTAGTCCGGCCACAATCAGCAGCACGGTGGCCGCCATCAAGATGGACATCACCAAACTGCAGTCAAGACCGGACGCTGCTACAAAGGCATACAAGATGCCACGCTTCAACATCGGCAAGTTTGACGACTACAACAAGACGAACGCTTTGACACGGTGGCAAGGTTTCCTCATGGAAGCATCCTGCTACACTGTACCGGCCGAAGACATGATGAAAGCGCTCTACCTCCAACTCATTGGAGGAGCACAGGCATGGATTAACCATACCGCGGCCAATCTGAAATGCACCATCGCAGAACTGCACACGCACATTCCGTGGAAGCAGTTCGAGCAAATGTGGTTCACTCGATTCATGGTCCGCAACATTGTAAAGGCGGCCATGAACGACGCATACTCCAGCTCACAAGGGAACATGCCAACTCGAGACTGGACGATCAAGTGGCAGAAGATAGTAACCACTCCAGGCTTTGACTTGAGTTTTCTGAACCAACGATCCGAATTCTTTTCGCGATCGTGCGCAGGACTGCGGTCGGCACTCGGCAACGAGTACGACTATGCCTCATTCCAGGCTATTCTGGATCGTGCGAACCTGGTCATCCAAACGGATGACAAGGCAGCTAACGAACGACAATCCCATCCGCACTATGTGGCTAAGCAAGGCTACCAACGACCGACACATAACAATGTAGTGATTCCTGACGAATCAATTGATCTCCACACTGCAGCAACATCCTCGAGTGATGGAGGAGTTGTCGCAGCGCTCCCACTGAAGCGTCCTAAGAGAGTTCGGAAGAACAAGGCGACACAAGCGACGACATCGACGGGAACTGGGCAGCAACCATGGACGGCATACAACATTACCAAGGAAGTATTTGACCTTCGTCAACGGTACGGATATTGCCTTTGGTGCAATAGTGTAAACCACACTACCGCACAATGCTCGGAAAAGGGCAAGGCACGCGTACCCCGTCCAGCTAACTCGGGAAACTGAGTTGCGCATGGAGAGGGGCGACGCCTCTCCTCACTCCACTGGAACCGGTTGCCTTGCTAGCAACCGATATCACTACCAGGGAGCATGCGTTAGTCGCTGATTCTCGTGCTACGTACGAGGATTATGCCGCCCAGCTGGTGCCACCATTAGACCAGCCTAGCCACGTGCACTTAGATAGCGTATGCGCAGCCTGTACACCGTCGGCAAGTGAACCGGTCAGTTCGCCACTGATTTCCGAGGACTCGACGGCGTGGTCAAGACTTGAGGAGCTTGACCCGCTCACGAGAGAGGACTTCGCTTGGATGCCTCTACCCTCAACCGGAACCTTGCCAAGGCCGCGTTGTAACGCCTTGATGGCAATGCTCCTACTTGCACGCTGCAATACCAGCTCCGTTGACGGACGACGGAGTAGCGGTTGTCGATCTCCGCTCCTATCTCGTGAAGATTGACCGCGAGTATGCCACCCAAAGGTACGCCGAAACCGATGCGCCTTTGCTCTATATCCGCATTCAAATCGGAAAGGCAACTTGCAGTGCCTTGATTGATTGCGGAGCATCTCGCAATTACATGAGCCAAGCCTTTATGGCCCGTGCAGGCCTTGGCCCGCGCCTTCGAAGGAAGACACAACCTACGCAAGTGACACTCGCGGACGGCCGCACGCAAAAGTCGACTGACCGATGCATTGACGGCTTAGGTATACTTTGCGCCCCTTGCGCGCGAGCCGGTGTCTTTCGACATCCTCGACACCAAGTTTGACATGATTTAGGCATGTCTTGGTTGCGTAGCGCCGATCATCCGGTGAACTTTCATGACCGAACCGTTCACATCCGTGATCGGAACGGAGTGCTAGTCCCATGTACGGTCGCGACCCCTCACACTTCGATTGCTTGTCACATGGTTTCTTTTGCGAGAATTCGCGACACTATAGCTCAGAACGACGTAGAGGAGATGGGCCTTGTTTTTTTACATGCTCTCCCCTCGCCGGACGGACCAGCCGCGTCACTGTCGGACCCACGCATTACTCACCTCTTGGACGGGTATGGAGACGTCTTCGAGGCTCCCATCGGAACGGTTCCGGATTGGCCCATACGTCACGAGATCACTCTCGAGGCTGGTGTCGTCCCTCCGCGTGGATGCATTTACCGCATGAACGAAGAGGAACTCGAGGTGCTTCGCACACAACTCGACGACCTCCTCGACAAGGGCTGGATTCACCCTAGTTGTTCGCCTTACGGTGCACTAGTTCTCTTCGTCCGGAAGAAGAACAAGGACCTACGGCTGTGCATCGACTGTAGAACACTTAACGCACAAACCGTAAAGAACGCCATCCCTCTCCCCAGGATTGATGATCTCCTCGAGCGGTTGGGCGGCGCAACGTACTTCTCGAAGTTGGACTTGAAGTCGGGTTACCACCAGATTGGAATCCAGCCTCAAGATCGGTACAAGACCGCCTTCAAAACGTGGTATGGGCATTTTGAGTGGGTCGTGATGCCATTTGGACTCACCAATGCCTCGACAACTTTCCAAGCAACCATGACAATGGAGTTCCGAGACTTGCTCGATCGTTCCGTCCTCATCTACCTCGACGATTTCTTGGTCTATAGTAGGACACTTGACGAGCACCTCATACACCTTCGTGTGGTGTTAGATCGCGTACGAACAGCCAAGTACAAAGCAAACCGCGACAAGTGCGAATTCGCCAAACAAGAGCTTGAGTACTTAGACCATTATGTGACGCCGAAAGGCATTCGTCCCTTAGCGGACAAGATCCAAGCCATCGTGGATTGGCCGGAACCCCGTTGCACGACGGACTTACACTCTTTCATGGGTTTGGCTGGATGCTATCAGCGCTTCGTCGAGTCTTACTCCAAAGTGGCAGCTCCTTTGTCGAGACTTCAGTCCCTGAAGGTACCATTCGAGTTCGACGATGCAACTTGTGGCGCGTTCAATACGTTGAAGGCGGCGGTGCAAGACGCACCGGCCCTCCGTATCTATGATCCCACCCTACCCACCCAAGTGACTACGGATGCTTCCGGGTACGGTATTGGTGCGGTATTGGAACAATGCCACACGGATGGTTGGCATCCGGTCGAGTACTTCTCCCAAAAAGTGCCTCCCATCAACACTCTCGACGATGCTAGGAAGAAAGAGCTACTCGCGTTCGTCACCGTCCTCAAACGGTGGCGCCACTTTCTTCTCGGTCGTCGGCGTTTTAGATGGAACATGGACAACAATCCGTTGACCTTCTACAAAACGCAGGACACGGTTACTAGTACGATCGGTCGATGGATGTATTACATCGACCAGTTCGACTTTGAACCGTGCCACATTCCCGGTCCAGCCAATCGAGCAGCGAACGCCCTCTCATGGCGGTCCGACCTTTGTGCCCTCGTAACGACGACGTTCCAACTCGACGACGATCTGCAGCAGCATTTCGTCAAAGGCTACAATTCCGATCTGACTTACTCTACGCTTTATGTGGACCTATCATCGAATCACCCGCCGGCTGGTCATTATCGTATCTCCGACGGGTTCCTACTTCTCCACACGAGAGGGAAGGACTTGTTAGTGGTGCCCCAAGATCGCATCTTACGGACTCATCTTCTCGGCGAATTCCACGACGCACGACTTTCGGCACACCTTGGCGTGACCTGCACATTGGCCCGCCTCCGCCAGCGTTTTCACTGGCCCGACGTTCTTCACGACGTTACGAGGTATATTGAGTCATGCGCAGTTTGCCATCGTAACAAAGGTAGATCTCAGGTCCCTTATGGCGAACTGAAATCGATGCCGATTCCTCGGACACCTCGCCTCTCCATTGCTATGGATGTTATAGGCCCGTTCCCTCGCGATCGCCTCGGTCGTAACGACATTCTCACGGTCGTTGACCGTTTGAGCAAGTACACTCGCTTTCCCGAGCTCGCCCGACTCTTGCACACCGGCTGGATTACATGCCACGGTGTTCCGGAAGACATTGTGAGCGACAGAGACACTCGCTTCATGACCGCCTTCTGGACTTCCCTCATGACGGAGTCCGGTTCGACTATGACGCGGAGTTCCGCACGGCACCCGCAGACGGATGGACAGTCGGAACGAGCGCATCAAACCGCTCAAATGATGTTACGTACACTCATCCGTCTCGACCAGAAAGATTGGGTTGACCGGCTTCCCGACATCGAGTTTGCCTATAACACTTCGGTGCACCCGGCGATTTGCATCACTCCATTCGAGTTGCATCACAGTGGAGAGAAAGCCCGAGTCTTTGCCGATCTTTTTTTACCACGGGCCGCCGACATAGACGTCGCTTGCTCTCCCGCTTTTGTTTGGAAGTACCGGGACTTGCTGATCAAAGCCCGCGCAAACATGCAAAAGGCTCAAATCCGCATGCAGCAGCAAGCTAACCGACGTCGACTCCCATGTCTATTCCGCGAGGGAGACCTTGTTTGGGTCCTCGCCGAGGAATTCGCGCTCGAGCAGGACATTGTTGAGCGCATCGGCCCCGCAGGGGGACCTTCCCGGCCGCGTCACGTAGGATTTTGCAGGACTTCATCGTAGAGCGCGGTTTGCCGCTCCGGCCGAGTGCGCCAGTCGTACCTCTCGCGAGTCCCTACGACAGGACAGGGTCACGCGAGGCACTGCTTTACCTCCACCCGCGGGAGCTGTCACCATCCCTTGGGTGGGCGTATCCCCGCCGAGCTACCAGACCACGTGCGAAAGCTTTTCATGTGCAATCGCAGAGGTGGTCAGGCCGAGGGCGTTTCTCGTTCGCTATAGCATAGGGGGTACGCGCGGTCAACGCCCGAATCGAACTCGCATGCGAACCGTCGCTCGAGGCGCTGATCTCTCGACGTAGGTCGACTAGGACGGCTATTCTAACCACGCGACGATGCCAGATGAAACGAAACCAAGTTTCACTCGTAGATCGCGCCTAGAACCTTGTTCTCACCCAATCCATAACTTTTGTTGAGGGATTAGATGAGTGCCGCGCGCGAGGCTCAAAATAAATATCATGGCGGCATGGGCTCTATCTTACCGACTCGCTATACATGTTTACGCAAGTAGTCGCAATGACGGAGTGCTATGTGGTACCCAAACTCAGGTGGCCCTCAAAGATTTTGAGGATCACCTTCGACACTCAAGTGTCGGCTAACATACGTCTCGAGGGGTTATCCTCTTGACGTTGGACAATCACAAGTGCGGTTGCAAGATCTACCCTCTTCTGCACCCTGTGGAGAGGGGTTGAGTAGACAGCTTCAGGGCTGTCGTGGTAGCCAAAGTCTTGGCTCTCTTGACAGGCTCCAACATCGGAGGTATGTGGAGAGGTCGAGGGGTTTGATTTTGACGGCGGCCACGAACTCCAACGTCGAGAGCTCAAAACAGAAGGATAAAGCAAAGCTATACTTGGGACTAACTTCTGACACTTGCTTGATAGTTAGGATTGAAGATAGTTTACACGATCCCCTTTCAGAAGATGGTATCGTGAGCTCTCGTCAACTTTAACTTAAGGTAAGGACAGTCCTATCTTTATCCCAAGCTCTCCCTCCCATCATCCATCTCATCTACCTATGGCTCCAACACTTGGCGAGCATCTAAGCAGCTATCCTATCGAAAAGACGCCCCAGAGTGAGAGCCCACAAGCATGCATAAACAAGCATCTCTCACAATCCCACATCAGTTTGGCCCAAGTAGTTCGTTACATCTCTCAGTTCCTTTCCCTTTTAAGTCCCCCTTTTCCTATTGCATATGATCAGACTCACCCTAATTAAAGGGTATGCCTGACCTGCCTAAATAACAGATAAGATACGCACGTCTGGACTGCCCTAACCCTAGGGTGTGCCCAACATAACATGACCAGTATACGTAAAGCATACGACCAGACGGCCCTAACCCTAGGGTACGTCTGGCTCCTGCCTAACTGACAACATGAAGCATAGGACCGGGTTGCCCTAACCCTAGGGTGTGCCCATCTGCCCTAAACAAAGTTACATATGGCATAACATTAGACCATCCCTACCAGGGGTAGGCCTAATTTGCCTGAGCATAAGCATGAACGACAAAAAGTAGGACCACCCTAACCCTAGGGTACGTCCATCTTACATCACATTAACGACAAAGGCATATTGCTAGGCCGCCCTAACCCTAGGGTACGCCTAGTTAGCCATAACATTTCGAGTTACATAAGGCAATGTGATCAGGCTGCCCTAACCCTAGGGTGTGCCTGACCTGCCCAAACAAGTACAACGACGTTTGGCTGAGCCTCCGTAACAACAGTTAGATAGAAACAGACATAAATGTACTTGCACAAACTTTATGTCTTTCCTTCTCTCGTTAAGCAGTCGATCGGACCTTTCCAACAATTGGAACTTTCGATCCTGCCTCATGTTTAGAAGGGAAAATAAAAACAGATTTATACTAACTCTCTGCTCCTTAATGTTATTACGAGCATACAACTGAACCGCCCTAACCCTAGGGTACGTTCAGTCTGCCCAGTTACCTAATTTTTATTCTTCATCTATTTCCTTTTCTTCCTTAGTTCTACCTGACTTACTGACTGGCTTTCCCTACCCAGGGTGCCCGGTCTGTCACAAGTATAAGTTCAATAATATATATATCAGATTTTATACTCTGGTTGGCCAGTTAATTCACAGCTCATGGCTAAGCCGCCCTAACCCTAGGGTACGCTTAGTCTTATGCCTTTGTCCCCCTCAGAAGAAAACATGCACCTCAAACTCATTAAAAGAAACACCAGGAATCTGAGCCTTCCCTACCCAGGGTGCCCGTCGTCCTGTTAAGAAACCCTAAAAAAAACAGCGAATGATCCATCCTACCCGGGTAGGACCAGCCATAAAAGTGTCATTCACACAGCCCAACAAACATCAATAAAACATAGCACTGAGCCCACATCCACCCGGGGGAGCTCAGCCTTGGGTTGACCTGGTCAAAGCATGCAAAACTCATTTTTCCCACCTTCCCCCCAATTCACTTGTCTAAGTTTTGTCGAAGGGTTATCTAACTTGTCATACATTTTTGTTAATTTATCTTTCACAAAGCATGTCCTTACATACATAACAGAAATAAAAAGTAATAATCTTTCATAGTTATATTCAGATACCCAAAGGGAATAACTTTTTTTAGGGGATAGGATCACATGCGTCAGACGAAAGTTATACCTGAAGTTCCATGCCTCTAGAACCCCGCCTGGGTTCCGGCAGAGCTCCCGCAATCGGTGGGGCGAACCTCCCACAGAGGCCTTAGCGAGGTTTACGGATTTCAATCCCACCTACCGCCTTCCTCTCAGCACCAAAGGACTAGACTGAGACTGAGAAGGCAGAAAAATAGATGTTTAGATTCTCAGATACAAGAGGGATGCGCATAGACTTGCGGGAGAGGGCCTTGTAGTCTTCCACTCCTGAGGGCCCCGCAATGGTGGCCAATAACTCAACAAGGTTGGTCAATGCACGACCAGAATGCAGTGTGTCGGTCCCCAGACGAACGTCCCAGTCGCAACAATACTCGGTGTATAGAACCTGGCCACTCCTTCAAGTCGTTGTATCGTTATCTCAGACCGAACTGCTACTACACGGTCTAGACGGTCCGTGTTCAAGTAGAGCATGCCCCTGTACTCTATTCGAAATTGATGCAAACCTCCTCAAAATCAGTCAGCCTATCTACACAACAATCGTATGTAGTAGCAAGGCACAGTAAATGCACCACAAGCCTTAATAGCGAAGGAAAAGAAACACAGCGAAGCATGACGTGCATGCTTAGCAAGTTCACAATGTCCACTGCAGTCAGCAGTCGCGTGCAGCGGCTAGACACCACAGCAAGTGCAGTAACGCAATAAGTGCACAATAGATCGCACAGTCGGACCAGCAACAACTTAGTAGTCTCTGCACCCCGCGAAACTTAGCTGATTCAGCAATCTGTAAGTTCATCATACTTAGCGAACAGTAACTCAGTGAGCAGTCGTTTAGCGAGACACAACTCTAATCCGTGCGAGGCTGCAGTCCCTCGCTGTTGACGATAGCAGGAATACCTTACCGCAAAAGGCATAGCTACAGTCGTGAGCGCACAGCCAAATCGACTCTCAACAACAAAAAGTACAGTAACACCATGGGCCTCAACAGCGGCAGTCCTTGAAGAAAGAACAACAATTACTGAACAAAGAACAACAGCCACCCTCAACACCGATAGATGCGGGAGTGGTTGACTATGGTTCCTTAGGATGTGATCACTATGACACACCAGATGCCCCGCCTACACAAATAGCCGGAGTCTGATTTGCCAATGACACTAAACAGTCAGTTCACTTCACCAGCTGAGAACGGCCCCGCACTTCCCATTCTCGGTTATCCTGCATCGTCTATTTCCAATGATAAGTTCTTTCCTTTTTTCGGTAATTGCAAGTGCCCCAGCGCCCGCCTGCTACAGTGGCAAAAGGATGATCGAATCCGACGCTGAAACATAGGCAGATATGCACAGCCCGTCCGCTGCTGCACCTTCCTACTGTCGAAACCATCCGCTGTCCTCCTTTCCTGTCTTCACCAGCCCCCTACACACCTCCTATTTCTGATGTAACTGAAGTTACTGGACCTGACCGCGTGAGTGGCTAGGTACATTCAATATTGGAAAGATGCATTGCTTCGTACTTCGTGCTTCCGCTCACCTCCGACCGGGTACGTAGTTTGACTCCCCTTCTCTCTCTCTCTCTCTCTCTCTCTCTCTCTCTCTCTCTCTCTCTCTCCAGTAGCCCGCAGCGTTCGACTGCGCTTGGCCGTTGGCATGGCCAAGTTCAGGAGAATTCGAAGAGGGAGAGAAACGAAATCGCAGGAAGGGAGACTTCAAGCATTACGAAGTACAATCACGGTGGATGAACAATCATAGTGAACGAGCAGCCCTGCGATCCCGACCATATGGGCAAACCTGCATCGGGCCAGCATGAGGATGATAAACTCTTCAATGGAAACGAATGTGATGACATCCTTAATGGCAGCGAAACTCATGGTGAGAAACACGCCACAAGTGCGCTCAGAGCATGGCGATTGGGCGAGGCTACAGACTGGCCAGCATCGCTCTCTACAGTTGCAAAATGAGAATGCAGCTTCCACCAAAACATGGGGAGATACGTGGTGTTGGATTCCGTCGTTGTTGCACTCACTCAGACTACCAGGAGGGCCATGCAAAATGGAGTTGACTGCCAGGATGATGGTGACTTCCGGCGAGATTCCGATGATGAGTAACGCAGATATGCAGAACCACGAACCCCAAGCAGACACCCACGAATCCGACGAGGACAACTTCCTCAGAGCAACACGATGATCAGCACCTCAATCTCAACGAGCAGAATGGTAAGCAGCAGTGGACTTGCGTTGAGTACCTGCAGAAACTTGATGACAGAATGTAATGCCTAACACTCCTATCACCAACTGGAAAAAGAGAACGAACCTTCCCCTAGATCATGGGAAGGTACAGCCTGATCCCACCGTTTTGCTGCTTGCCTTTATCGGCACATCGAGCAGCCCCTAACGCCTACACCCGCCAAACTATTAGCCCAACACAAAAAAATAGCCTCCGTGTGAAAGCCCCCGAAACGCATCTTCACTTGCCCGTTTCCGTCAAGAAACGGACGAGATAGAAGTTTCTCTTCCCCGCCATATCCAGTCTCCCGTATCCTTCGCGCATTCTGTTCTTATTCTTCCTCCTATTCTACTAACTTTCGTACAAATCTGACTACAGATTTGGGGTCGCCAGCCCCGAAAACCCCAAAACCCGTCCCTCACTCGCCCGACTCCGCCCAGAAACGGGCGAGATACGAGTTGTTTGCCATGCCATATCTCTCACCCCTCTCCTTGGTCTTCATCTTCCCATCTCCGTCCTCTTTGCCATCGAATCCTCCTAACCTCGGAGCTAAAGTGTCCTCCTACCAGCCTGTCCGACAGGCTCCAAAGATTGAAAGTTTCAATTACTCGTGGCCTGTTGGATCATGCCTTATTATGGCCGGGCCTGTAAAGTGCGCTCTCGGCCTCTCCACTTTGAACTAGTCAAACTCCCCTTTTCTGCACATGAACCCAGCCAGGCCCGTTGCCTACATGCATTAGGGGCTGGCCACGACTTATGTGACCGAGGGCACATTCGTCTGAGACCTACCCAGGCAACCCAGACTTAACTTACCCGGTCCCCCTGATTGCATCTGGACTCGAACTTGGGCCTGTATTTCAACAGTTTTGTGTGTACCAACTGAGTTGCCCCATTGGTACTTTTGCCAGCCCCTGAACCAGCGCCTGGGTCGTGTTCCAACTGGAACCAAAGGGTATATAAAAATGAGTAAAAATAAAAACGGAATTAAAATAAAACATCAGAACGGGGAGGGCTTCCATGTGACCAGCGGTACACAGCCTCTGCGCTAGTGCTTGCTGGTCCTCACCCCGCCCAGATATAGTTCACCGTCTTTCTGGTCCCACCGGGAATGCTCACACTGCGACTCCAAATCTGCAAAATAGGCAGATTTGGGACAGACCAAATTTGAGGTTTTGAGCATGATTCGGGTCGCACTGCTGTGCCTTTTCAGATGGGACAAGGCCCTGGTCGTCCAGAGCAATAGTGATTTGGTACTTTGCTGGTCCCACGACGCCGGGTATGCGGCCTATGCTCGATTGTCGTGAAGAGTAGAAGAGTGCGGGCCCGCTGCTAAGCCTAAAGCGTGAGTCCCCGTGAGGGCTGGTTCCGACGCAGATCTTCATGGTAGTAGCAAATATTCAAATGAAAGCTTTGAAGATCGAAATGGAGAAGGGTTTCATGTGCACAGCTGTGCAGTCTGCACCGTTGTGGACCTCCCTACCGTGCCCTGTGCCGCTCCGTCCGGACACAGTTTGCATCTTTCTAATCCCAACTGGTATGCTCACACTCAAAACCCCCCTCTGCAGCTCGCGAGTGGCTGACAGCTGCCTTGCAGCAGATCATGGTTGGCAGATGGTGAACCCGCTGGAGGTTCCCGCCACTCAGTTTCTTCCGCCTCGTTGGCTACACACCCACTGGTTGGCATATGCGTCGACTCCTTGGCCCACGTCTCGGGCCACGCAAAAATAGAAAGACTTCGCCATCCCCCCCCCGAAGTCAATAGCCAAACTAATCCCCTCTGTATCGCTCCAATTTTAATGGATGTCCCGAAGGACTGTGCAGGGGCTACGGCCTTGGTACTTCAGAAATATTTTATTCATCAAGTTTCATCATCAGGATTCGAACACGGGTCTGTATTTCAACAGTTCAATAGCATTCCCACTTAGCTAGGCTCTTGGGTTCCACGGTCCGATCCTGGAACCGGTACCCGGCCGTGCCCAAAAATAATAATAACTAAAAATAAAAGAAATAGCAATTATTAAAAAAAATAGAAAAACCCGGAAATGGGACGAGGGGAAGGGAGGACATGTCGGTCCCTGCCCTTGATCCTGCCCGTCGGGCCCGTTGGCGGACTCCCTAGCAAAACCAAACCCTCGGCTCACTCGCGCTCCTCTGCTGCTGGCAGCTGGCCTCGATCCCCGAATCTGCTCGTTGAGAGGCCAATGTTGTAACCAATTGGGCTAAGCCCAAGTCTGAGCCTAGTGTCTGCGAATTCCTATATCAAGAGTAGTTGCAGCTAGCCTGGGCCTGTAGCAGCAGTGCCAAGGCTGCTGCTTGACCTCCCATTCAAACCCACGGCCCTGTACGCACGCTCATGCTGCTAGGGGGCCGGATTTCGCTCGGCACGTCACGCTTGTAGCCCCCACAATGCCGCGTCCGAAGGCCGAGGCTCTCATCTCCCGCTGCACTCGTCAAAGGGATCACCCTTTTCTCGCCTCTTTGCAGGAAAAACCCAGCCTTTGCTCTAGTTCACGTCATCCTTACTCGGCTCTGTCGGCGACTTCTATTATCGATAGCGCACGGTCAACCTAGTGCTTGCGTAACTTCGCACGGTGCGACCTCGAATTCTCAAGTGAGTCAAACAAAATTTTCCTCTAGCCGTAGCCTCAATGATTAAACTCTGCGCTGGTTGCGACTTCGTCAGCGTGTCCGAGGTTGCGGCTCACGCAACGTTTATTCAAGATTCTAGCCTCTTCCTAGTTTGCACTGCTTGAGCGACCCACTGTTTACTCTGATCAAAATTATCTTACTAACGCGTTGTAGGGGCCATACCCTAAAGGACTTTCGAGCCTTGGTCGACCCTACTGCGGGTCCCACTTGGCTCGACCCGTCCACGCTCACGCTCAGGGCGCGGGTCGTTCGTCCCAGGGGCATCCCCACCTAGTGCTTTGAGATGGATGGGGGTGGGCCAGTTGCGAGAGGGCTTTACATTGGGGGATGCCGCTCCGCTCTCACGTCAAGATGGTAGCTCTTTGGCACTTGTGGCGTTTTCTCGATTCAGTTAAGTCTGACCAGGCAATTGCTCCTTCCAATACGCAGGCAGTCCAGGGAATTAATTGAGAGTTTATCTTCTTACCGTGCGCAGGCCAAGCGTCATCCATTGGGCCACACACCTTTTCACTAGGTCTAGTGGCTCGGGACAGCCCCGATAGCATCCTTGGGGTAGGGCGACGTCGCCCGGACCCCTAGCCGCTATATTTTTTTTGCGAGGGCCACTAGCATCGCATCACCGATCCAAGACCGCCCTTAGTCCTTTCAGGGGTCGCATTGCACATGAGAGAGACATTCCATGCAACCTCCATGCAAGCCAAGTCCATGCATCAGCCATCCACCCAAGCCCCCGGTCTCAACTCATCCCGCATCCATGGCTTAAGCCGAATCCAAGTCCTTTCCTTAGCCAATCTCCCACCCTAGTCCTCATCCGCGGGTCCAGCCCGTCCAAACTGTGTGACCACAATCCATGGCTTAAGCCGAATCCAAGTCCTTTCCCTAGCTACTCACCTGCACAAGACCACACAAGACAAGTGACCAAGTACAATCCCCATTGGGGTCAACACATCGCCCCCTTTCGTGCAATCCTAAGTTGTCTTTGCCTTCCATTTTCCCTTATGAGTTCCCTCCCCGTTCACACAGGCAAGCCACGCAATCGCCTCAGTCATGCATTCCGGGAGGATGGTTGAGTCAAACTGACGTCGTCCAAAATCAGCACTCCTTTTCGCTTTCGCCATCGCCAATGCACTCAATAGTCCCGTATCCTTTCCTTCTTGGTGGCACAAGGGACCGGCAACCCTTCCTGGGGGGCGGGTGTGGGTGACGGAGGAGGAAGAAGGGTTGGAGGTGGTTGGCTATGGTGGACGGGTGTGGGTGATGGAGGAGGAAGGAGGGTTGGAGGTGGTCGGCTATGGTGGACGGGCGTGGGTGATGGAGGAGGATGAAGGGTCGGAGGTGGTTGGCTATGGTGGACGGGTGTGGGTGATGGAGGAAGGAGGGTNGGTGTGGGTGATGGAGGAGGATGAAGGGTCGGAGGTGGTTGGCTATGGTGGACGGGTGTGGGTGATGGAGGAGGAAGAAGGGTCGGAGGTGGTTGGCTATGGTGGACGGGTGTGGGTGGTGGAGGAGGAAGGAGGGTTGGAGGTGGCTAGCTATGGTGGACGAGTGCGAGTGATGGAGGAGGGAGAAGGGTTGGGGTGGTCCGGCTATGGTGGACGGGTGTGAGTGATGGTGGAAAAAGAAGGGTTGGAGCCGGTCGGCTATGATGGACGAGTGTGGGTGATGGAGGAAGAAGAAGGGTTGGAGGTGGTTCGCTATGGTGGACGGGTGTGGGTGATGGAGGAGGAAGAAGGGTTGGAGGTGGTTGGCTATGGTGGACGGGTGTGGGTGATGGAGGAGGACGAAGGGTTGGAGGTGGTTGGCTATGGTGGACGGGTGTGGGTGGTGGAGGAGGAAGGAGGGTTGGAGGTGGCTAGCTATGGTGGACGGGTGCGAGTGATGGAGGAGGGAGAAGGGTTGGGGTGGTCCGGCTGTGGTGGACGGGTGTGGGTGATGGTGGAAGAAGAAGGGTTGGGGCTGGTCGGCTATGGTGGACGAGTGTGGGTGATGGAGGAAGAAGAAGGGTTGGAGGTGGCTAGCTATGGTGGACGGGTGCGAGTGATGGAGGAGGGAGAAGGGTTGGGGTGGTCCGGCTATGGTGGACGGGTGTGAGTGATGGAGGAGGGAGAAGGGTTGGGGTGGTCCGGCTATGGGGGGTGGACGTGAAAGAAGGCCCGTTGGACGCATCCTAGCTCCTAGCCCCGTACCTCCGTTTTCTACTTCGGGTGCCTGGCTGCCCCCATATCACTTTCGGAAGTCACTGGTCAAAACAAAAATGGAGAAGGGACCAGACTGCAGCCCACACACACACATCCACGCACATACTCCGAATGTCACCGGGTACAGCCAGGGGTAAAGACGGACCGCACAAGTTACCGGGGACTGCAGCACTCACACTTACACACACCGAATGTTACTGGGTACAACAGGGGGAAAAGATGGACTGCACAAGCTACCGGGGACTGCAGTACTCACACACACACACACACCGAATGTTACTGGGTACAGCAGGGGGTAAAGATGGACTGCACAAGTTATCGGGAACTGCAGCACTCACACATACACACACGAATGTTACTCGGTACAGCAGGGGGTAAAGATGGACTGCACAAGTTAACGGGGACTGCAGCACTCACACGTACACACACCAAATGTTACTAGGTACAGCAGGGGGTAAAGATGGACTGCACAAGTTACCGGGAACTGCAGCATCCACACATTCACACACTGCATGTTACTTGGTACAGAAGGGGGTAAAGATGGACTGCACAAGCTACCGGGGACTGCAGCACTCACCCACACGCACACCGAATGTTACTGGGTACAGCAGGGGGTAAGGATGGACTGCACAAGTTACCGGGGACTGCAGCACTCACACACACACACACACCGAATGTTACTGGGTACAGCAGGGGGTAA